CGCAAATAAAATTCATTTCTTCTCAACACTGCGATGCTCGTAAGAGAAAAACTGAGTCTATTAGCTTAAATTGGCATTATCTTCATTGATTATTGAGGTTAATGTTTGTCTTGAATTTGGATCATTGATGCTGTTGTATAGAAAGCAAAAAAAAAGTGGAAAAAAAACGTTAAGTACACGTTAAAGAATAGCGCACGATGAGTAATTTCCACGTAAAAGAAAGCATTATTGCTTATAACCGTTTTGCGAGCGTGTCAAGTGCATCTTCTTTATTTGGAAATGATTTTTAGTTTGGCGATACGAATATATACTCTCTGTTGGCAAGTGGATAATTTAATAGCCTTAAAAATTTTTACTGACTTTTTCGTTAGGTATATATGCGTATGAAATGGGTAATAAAATTGGCCTTTTACCAATTCTCAGGTGTATAGTGTATATGGACGTGCTCTCACTTTAAATGAACGCATTATTCTTATTTTGTCCAACAAGTTGTCCATACTAAACTTTTACACGTACAGACATACAAATCACTTTAATTTTTCGAAAAAAATTCAAAGAAATATGAATAAAAAGGAAGAAAAAGAAAAATTCTTTTATTAAGAATAATAAAGAAGAAAATAAAATAAATAGAAAGAATAAAATTGAAAAAAAATAAAGCAGAAGAATAAAAATAAAAAATTCGAAAAATGAACAAAAAAATAAAAATTAGGAACATAAACAATAAAAATAAAAATATTTCCTTTGTTTATGTTCCTAATTTTTATTTTTTATAACATTTTTATAATAAAAAAATTTTTATGATAAAAAAATTTTCAAATAAAAAAATTTGTATAATAAAAAAATTTTATAATAAAAAAATTGTTATAATAAAAAATGAAAATAATAAACAAAAAGTACAAAATTAAGAAATAAAATATACAAAGTGGTTAAAAATAAAAAATTCGAAAAATGAACAAACAAATAAAAATTAGAAACATAAACAAACAAAAAATTTTGTTTTGTTTGTTTATGTTTCTAATTTTTATTTTTTATGCAAATTTTATAATAAAAAAATTTTTATAATAAAAAATGAGAATAATAAACAAAAGGTACAAAATTAAGAAATAAAAAAATAAACAAAATGGATAAAAATCAAAAAATTCGAAAAATGAACAAAAAATAAAAATTAGAAACATAAACAAACAAAACATTTTTGTTTTGTTTGTTTATGTTTCTAATTTTTATTTTTTATGCAAATTTTATAATAAAAAACTTTTTATAATAAAAAATGAGAATAATAAACAAAAGGTACAAAATTAAGAAATAAAAAAATAAACAAAATGGATAAAAATAAAAAAATTCGAAAAATGAACAAAAAATAAAAATTAGAAACATAAGGAAACAAAACATTTTTGTTTTGTTTGTTTATATTTATAATTTTTATTTTTTATAAAATTATTGTAATAAAAAAATTGTATAATAAAAAACTTTTGTAATAAAAAAATTGTATAATAAAAAATGTTTGTAATAAAAAAATTGTATAATAATAAATTGTTGTAATAAAAAAATTGTAGAATAAAAAAATTTTTATAATAAAAAATGAGAATAATAAAGAAAAAGTACAAAATTAAGAAATGAAAAAATATACAAAATGGATAAAAATAAAAAATGAGAAAAATAAACAAACAGTAGGTATAAAAATAAAAAATAAAAAAAATAAACAAGAAGAATAAAATATAAAAATTAGAAAAATAAAAACTGGAAAAAATAAAAAAGAATAAAAATTAAAAATTAAAAAATAAACGAAAAGTATAAAAATAAATAGAAAGAATAGAAATACAAAAAAGGACGAAAATATATAAAATAGATAAGAACAAAAAAATGCAACGCGACAAGAAAAAATAAAAAAATTTGACCAAATTCCTTTGCGAAATTTCTCAATTTACATTTTATGCACATAAAATTTCTAGTTTTTATAAAATGTCAAACCTTTGTTTTTATATTTTATTTCTGGAAATTTTTTGAATTATTGTTAGAAATTCTCTCCACTTTCTTCTAATTAGAAATTCTCTGTCATTTCTTTACTAGAAAGTCAAAAAAACTATTTTTAAAAATCCACATCTCGAGTCTAAAACAAAATTTTATCCTAGAATGTTAACTTTTTTATTTTATTTTAAAATATTAAATTATTCACTTTTTTACTAAATTTTTAAATTATTAATTTTGCGATTTTAGTTTTGTTCGATCATTGAAAAACTTATGTTTTTATTTATTTTTTTTATTAAATTATCAAATTGGATAAATTTATTTAAAAAGAAATTTTTTTTATTATTGGAAGATAATGGATAAATTAAAAAAGAAAAACTAATAAATTTATTATTAAATAATTAAGTCACCAATTCAATTATTGTTTATTTAATATTTATCAGTTTTATATTATTAATTAGGTTACCATTTAGTTGTGAGGAAAATTATTAATTTGCTGAATTTCTAATTAGTTTAATCATTAATTAGGTATATTGTACTAATCAATTAAATTATTAATAAGTTCGGTTAATAATTATAAAAATAGTTAATTTTCTCATTCGTTATATTTATCAAGTTACTTGTTAGTCGAATTATTTATTTATTTATTTATTTAAGAAAAAATAAAAATTATTAATTAGTAAACTATTAATTAATTAAATTACTAAATGTCTGATTAGTTAAATTGATTTATTTATTAGTTAATTATTAGTTTATTAGTTAAAATAATAATTACATTAAGTTACTAATTAAATTTTTAAGTTTCTTTTTAGTTGAAGTAGAAAGTTGCTTATTAGTTGAATTATTAAACTACTAATTAACTAAATTATTAAGTTTCTTATTAATTAAATTAATAGGTTGTTTCTTACTTACAGTAATAATTACTTAAGTTACCAATTGATTAAATAATTAAGTTTCTTGTTAGTTAAATTCTCAAGTTACTTATTAGCCAAATTAATTTTTAAACCTACTAATTAACAAAATTATTAAACCTACTAATTGACAAAATTATTAATTAAAATAATAATTTATTGACTTATTGGTCAGATTATCTAGATGAATTCCTAAGTTACTATTTAATTAGAATATTGCTTATTTAAATTTATGTTTAATTACATTTAATTTAATTGTATTTAATTTAATTAAATAGAAAAAACAAAATTAAAATATTAATTATTTTATTAATTTAGTTGAAAAAAATTGTTAATTAACTAAATTAGTAAAAAAATTAATATTTTAATTTTGTTTTTTTTATTAATAATCTATAATTATAATTATTATTATAATTATAGTAAATTAAGTTAGTAATTATTATAATAGTCAATTATTAATTGTTAATCAATAATATTTAATTACATGATAATATTTATTATGCAATAAGAGAATATTGCATAAAAGCGAAAAGATTCCTCGAATATATTGAGAGCTTATTTTTTTTTTCCTTCCACTTTCAGTATAAAACAGTAGACTGCGTGAATTTTAGTGTGAAACGACAAATAAACTGGAATTGTGGAGAACAAGTTTAATAATTAAATTAATTGCATTTCAACACATTTCATAAAACTAGTGTTTTTAGTTATACACACGTCCATTAGATTAAACTAATACATCAATCAAATTAATAGTACAGTTGCGAGTATATATTCTCAAAGCCTCGCTTGTCAATCCGGTTATTCGATACTTGTGATGAAATCAAACTACAATTTATTCAGCTGTTCTGCACTCCGAACCCTTTGCGTACATACAAGTCAGATCCGATTACTCTTGAATCCACACGTAAAAAAAATAACACGTTTCACAAACATTGAAATGTAATTTGATTGATTTGATTGATCGATTCATTTTGTGGGGCTTCATATTGCCAAAATGGTTTTTTAATTATTCTTTTTCTCTTTATTTGCTCTAATTTCTATTGTTTATTTTGGTGTTGAAAACAATTTTTTTTTCCAACAAGAAAAAATATTATTATTAATAAATAAATTAATTAATAATAAATAAATTAATTAATAATTAAATTATTATAATTATTTATTTTTCTCTAATTATCATTGTTTATTTGGTATTATAAACAATTATTATTTTCTTGTAACAAAAAACAATAGTTTTTAAATAAATTTAATTTAAATTTAATAATTAATTAGATTTAATATTTTTTTTTAATAAATTATTATAATCCTTTATTTATTCTAGTCTCTATTGTTTATTTTGTATCATAAACAATTATTATGTTCTTTCCACAAGGAACAATATTATTGTTAATAAATAATTAAAAATTAAATTATTATAATTAGCAATATTATTTATTTTTTAATCAGTTACATCAATTAATTATTTAATACCTAATTATAATTATAATTTTATTTAATTATAATTATAATTAAAATTATAATTATAATATAATTATAATTATAATTATAATTAATTATAATTATTTATTTATTTATAAAATTGTAAATAATATTTATAAACAATAATAATTATAAATATAAATAATTAAAAGTATTATAAATAAATATTTTTTATTTATTTAAATATTAACAGAACAGTCCCGTTAATATAAATAATTCAATATAATTTAAAAATAATAATTTATTGAAAAGAAAAAAATTCACTATATTAATTAAAATTACAATTACTATTAATAGCGTGCCAGAGAATATATATATATATATATATAGTTCAGTTGTCGAATGACTTACGATTGAAAATAATTGACTCGCTCGTTATTGGTATGTGAACTGATTTTATTATTGTTTAATGATATCGTAAAGTAATTTAGGTATCAATAAACCGAATGGACAGATAATTGACAGAATAATTATTACTGTGAAACTAAATCGAGATATTAATGAATGTTTCATTTTTTTTTTTTTGAAATTTTTTTTTTGATTAATTGTACCAATCTTTTGATATAATCTAATACACGAGATGTTAATGAATGTGTTAGCATTTTGTATACTTTTTGATTAATTTTGTTCTCTATTTTTTTGTTGCAGGTACAAAGAAGAAAATAGAAGACGTTTCACCTCCCAGGACCATTCACGATATATCCGAGCATATTTTAAATTGTGGTCTCACACTGCCTGGTGAGTAGAAAAATTAATTATTTATTAATTACTGTATATTTTATTTATTAATTTAATTAATAGTTCAATCAAGAGGAATTTCTTTTTAATTGATATAAATTAATATTAATTTTCAAAGTTGGTTTGTAATTATTCAATTCATTATTTATTTCGTATACAAATAATAATTATTATTTAATTAATATTTGTTCCCAAATTTGTTAATAACAAATTAATTAATTTTAATTTTTGTAAATTATATTTAATTATTATTTTTATCATCTTTTTATTTTTTTAATTTTTTATTATTTTCTTTTTATTATTCTTCAATTTATAATTTATTTATCTATTATTATTTAATTTATTTTTATTTATAATTTATTTACTATTATTTAATTTATTTTTATTCATTATTTATTTATCACTTATTATTTAATAATAATAATACTGGTAATAATTATCCATTCACAGTTTCGTAAATTATTAACGATAATTACTTACTTTGAGCAATAAATTAACAATAAAAAAAAGTATTTTCAAAAGACATTAAAATAAATTTTTGTCAAAAAGAAAAAAATGAAATAAAAAATAAATATCGAATATGGTACTTGGAACCAGTATTAAATATAGGTTTTTAATATTGAGAATTCTTATCATAATTCCGGTTCTTTGGGTGTATGGCAATAACACCTTGCGAAGTAAATCAACTGTGCGAATGGACATAGGTGTCACTCAGGGAATTTCATAGAACGGTGCCAGTGTAGTTATATCAGAAAAGGGACAGTATATACTGTCGGTAAAATAACTTCTAAATAGTATTTACTGTATTCACTTGTATTTGCCACCTACGTCAAAATGCTTTCACACACACACACACACACACTTTGGCAAAAATAGTCGAGAGCGTGAAGAATGTTATTTGGAAAAAAAATGTGTGTGTGTGTGTGTATATATAAACATCTTTCTAATGTAGGTAGGAGATAATGTGGTGACCGCGAAGGAGTATGCGGAAGCAAGGACACACCCAAAGAACGTGTTGAATCTTCAAAACACAATTCACACGCCCTCAAACATCCTCGCGACTAAATTCTATTTGCGTACGCACATTTACACACAAGTTTCGCGTGATTCCCTTTTTTTCCCGATTACGTGTGTCGCACCTTCTTCTCTCCCTATTTTTGTTCTTGTTTCTTACATTTTTCTTCTTCGTCTCTCTTTTTACTTTCTTTTTCTTCTTTCTTTCTTTCTTTCTTTCTTTTTTCTTTCTCTTCTTTTTTGCCTCTATTTTTTCTTTTTTCTTTCTTTATCTCTTTTGTTCCTTTCTTTGTTCCTTTTTTTTCTTTTTACTTTCTTTTTTTCTTTCTTTGTCTCTACTTCCATTTTCTTTGACCTATTTTTTCCTTTTACTTTCTTTTTTCCTTCTTTATCACTTCTCTTCCTTTTTTTGTCTCCACTTCCTTTTTCTTTGCCTCTATTTTTTCTTTTTTTGCTTTCTTTTTTTTCTTTTTTCCTCTGTTAATTTATTTTTTCTTCTTTGTTAATTTCTTTTTTTCTTTTCTTTGTCTCTTCTTTTTTTTCTTTGTCTCTATTTCTTCTTTTTACTTTGTTTCTTATTTCATTCTTTGTCTCTTTTCTTAATTTCGTCTCTTTTTTCCTTTCTTTATTTGCTTATATTCTTTATTTCCCTTCTTTTCTACTTTGTGTCTCCCTTTTTTCTTTCCTTTCGTTTTTGCATTTATTTATTTTTTTCTTCCCCTGTTTCATTCTTTTTTTCCTTTTTCAAAGAAAACTTGTCAATTCATAAATAACTACTATAGAAAAAAATCCCCAGACGCCAGGAATTGAACGCAGGACCCTGAGCCTCATAAGCTGCTGGCTTAACCACGTGACTACGTCACACACTAATTTTTTTGTTCACATTCTATTACAAATCGTACCACTCGAGGTACCTTTAAAAAAATATAATTATTACCAAAATTAAATAAATCTTCCAAAATATTACTTCTTTTTTAGTTTTTGAAAAACAAAAGTAAAACTATTAAAGAGTAAAATAAACTAAATAAACTTTTATGAAAAGAAGCATAAATTAGAATTTTATTATAATAATCGTCTTATTCATTCTTTCATTCTGTCCAGACCTAAAGTTAGTTTTTGTGTATTCTTTTGTTTTTTTTCTTTAAAAAAAATTTGTTTTGACAAATTGAATTTTTTCATGATTCATAATAAAATAATATTAGAAATTAGAAAATTTTCAAAAAATACAATTGCTTTAATAAAATTCAAAATTTTTTTTTTAAATAAACGAAACAAATGTTTATAAATTCTATTTGTCAATTACAAATTTTCATTGAAAATGAAAATTTTTGAATATTTTGGAAAATAAAGGAAAAAATTTTACTCGGAAAAAAAAATGTTCCGTTACATTTTTACGAATTTCTTTAATTGTAAAATTATTAAAAACATCAATAATTTCTTTTTTAAATAAATATTTAATTATTATTATTTTTCCACACGAATTAAAACATTCAAAAATTCCAAATTCAAACCTTTTTGAAATTAATTTTGGGAAATTTCAATTATTTCTCAACTATTAAATTAAAATTCTTCAAAAAATCGATTTTTTAAGAAAATTATTTATTAAATTCAATTATTTTTCAAATATGAAATTAAAATTCTTTGAAAACTCAATGTTTTGGAAAATTATTTAAAAAAATTTAATTTCTTTTCAATTTATTAAATTCAAATTCTTTAAAAAATCGATTTCATGTAAAATTTTTTGTAAAATTCAATTGTTTTCAATTATTTAATTAAAATTCTTTAAAATGTCAATTTTATTGAAAATTTTGTTCTAAAATTCTATTATTTTTCAATCATTATATTAAAATGTTTACAAAAATCGACTTTTTGGGAATTTTTTTTTTAAATTAAATTATTTTTCAATTATTAAATTAAAATTCTTTGAAAAATAAATTTTTCAGAAAAATTTTTTGGAATATTTCAATTATTTCTCAACTATTAAATTAAAATTCTTCAAAAAATCGATTTTTTAAAAAAATTATTCGTTAAATTTAATTATTTTTCAATTATGAAATTAAAATTCTTTCAAAACTCATTTTTTTGGAAAATCTTTAAAAAATTCAATTATTTTCCAATTTATCAAATTAAAATTCTTTAAAAAATCGATTTTTTATTAAATTAAAATGGTTTCAAAAGTCGATTTTATTGGACATTTTTTTCTAAAATTCAATTATTTTTCAATTATTAAATGAAAATTCATTGAAAAATCAATTTTTCAGAAAGAATTTTTGGAAAATTAAAATTTTTTTTTAACTATTCAATTAAAATACTTTAGAAATTCAATTTTTTGTTAAATTGTATGTAAAATTCAATTTTTTTTTAATTATGAAATTAAAATTCTTTTGAAACTCAATTTTTCGGAAAATTCTTTAAAAAATTCAATTTCTTTTCAATTTATAAAAATAGAATTTTATAAAAAATCGATTTCATGTAAAATTGTTTGTAAAATTTAATTTTTTTCAATTATTAAATTAAAATTTATTCAAATTATTCAAAAACATCAATAATTTCTTTTTAAAATAAATATTTAATTATTATTATTTTTCCACAGGAATTAAGACATTCAAAAATTCCAAATTCAAACCTTTTTGAAATTAGACAACTTATAAAAGTATTTTGCTATAAAACATGAAGACATTGATTGCTTCGAGTCGAAGACTCGGAGTGATCGATTTCTTTATGTTTTATAATAATTTATAATAATTAAAAATTTATCAAAAATAATTGAATTATTGCGAAGAAATTTATAAAAAAAATTGTAAATAATTGAATTCCAGTGGAATTTTTATTATTTTTGAAAATAATTAAATGTTTCTGTACAATTTTATTAATTTTTTTTTAAATAAATAATTAAATTCGGAAAATTTTATTAAAATAGTAGATGTTGAAAATAATTGAAATTAGGACAAGAATTTTATTGCTATTTTTGAAAATAATTGAACTTTGGGGTAAAATTTTGTTATTTACAAAGATAATTAAGATTTTGACGAGAATTTTTTTTTAATTTTAAACATAATTGAATTTTATCAGAAGAATTTAATTGCTTTTGAAAATAATTGAATTTCTGCAATAAATTATTTGCAATTTCTCAAAAATTGAATTATTTTATTGTTTTCAACAAAAATTTTAATTTAAAATTTTTAAATTCTATTATTTTTAAAATTGATAATTTTATTTAAAAAAATAAAGTTAAAAGTTAGCCGCGCGCTTTAGCGCGCAAATTGCTGCTAGTATAATATAAAATAAATATAAAATAATTTAGAGTATAAAATATAAAAAATATAATAAAAATAATTAGAATAAATGTAAATTATTTAAAAGCGGCACTTGGATGAACAAATATTCGAAAATTATTTGTTCCACATGAATGAAACAATTTTACATTCCGATTGTATATATGGCGAGTGAATGTTGAACTCTATATATATACTCACTGATATGTATATACATATATATAAAGCAATATTTATTAGAATTTTTTTAATTTGCAAATATTCAATTGACATGAGAGTGAATTTTAAATGGCTAGTTTATCTTTACTTGTGAAGAAATTCTTCAAAGTCGAACGCGCGATCGATATCTCTAATGCACTTCGCCAAGTTAAAACCAAGAGAGCATAGGTATCTAATATCCATCTATTTGACCTATTAGATTCTAGTTCACAGTGCATAAAAGTTGGTCATTTTTATTCTTCTCAATATAAACTTCTGTTTCAATCTTTTTTTTTTCCTTTTTGAATTAATTGATCTTTGTTATTCATTCATTTATTTCTAAAAATCAATTTTTTTTACGAAACATATATACATACGTTTTCTAAATAAATTTTTCTAATTATATTTTTTTCTAAACATTTTTTCCTGAATATATTTTTTTTCTAAATAGGTATATTTTTCTGAATATATTTTTTAAAAATATTATTAGTGATTTTTAAAAGTTTCATTTTT